GTTCAAAAATATTCTTCCTTAGGCCTAAAATTTTAATCAGTTCAATAAGTTAAGCTTGCTCTGATTGATTCGTGGAAAAAACAGATAGTCAAAAAGATTCTTTTAGTTCAAAAATATTCCTCCTTACGCCTAAAGTTTTAATCAGTTCAATAAATTAAGCTTGTTCTGATTGATTTTGAGGAAAAATGATAGTCAAAAGATTATTTTAGTTCAAAAATATTCTTCCTTACTCCTAAATTTTTAATCAGTTCAATAAATTAAGCTTGTTCTGATTGATTTGAGAAAAAAAAGATAGTCAAAAGATTCTTTTAAGTAATCAAATTAATTCATTCTTTTCTCAAACAAAATAGACCCTTACCATAACAATTAAGGTAGCAGCTTCAATACCGTTATGCCTAAAGTGCTTTGTTGATATCTCATAGTTAGTTAATTGATCATGGTGAATTAATAATTATAGTTATTAATTAAATTTAATAAAATTAATATTTTTAAATATAATATCTTACGATTTTTCTAACCATAACCCTGCTTGATTAAAATTGATCATGGTTGTTGTGAAATTTGCAGGTTTATTGGACTGTAAGCACAGTAAATAAGAACCCAGAATACTTTCCTGAGCCTGAGAAATTTAATCCGTCAAGGTACGACGATGGGAACACCTTTCCGCCATTCACATTTGTCCCCTTCGGGGGCGGTCCCAGGATGTGTCCCGGAAAAGAATATGCACGATTGGCCATACTCACTTTCGTTCATAATGTGGTGAAGAGGTTCAAGTGGGAGGTGGTGCATCCTAATGAAAAGGTCATCGGGGACATGATGCCGACTCCGGAGAAAGGTCTTCCAATTCGCCTTCAACGTCACCAGGCTTAAATTACTGTTTGGTATCAATTTAAATAATGGTAATACCTATCAATCTTGACTTTAAATGAAAAGGTCCTTTGCGAAAACATCCTTGTGAGTTAATAGTTGTTTTATATTTGTAAAAAATTTCTCATATTAATGTTTAAAGGTATGAAATTCGTGTTTCACCGAAATATTAAAAAAAATGAGAAAAAGTTTTTTTTTTTTTTTTCCGTCATTGTAGGTCACGTGGCCTCTGTCAATGTAACAATCAGCGCACATGTCTGTACAAGCAATTTCCATATTGTACCATTTGTAGTTTTTTACGCTTGCACATCAGAAAATGTTTCTAAAATAAATACTATTTTAATTTGTCTAATTTAACTTTCTTTTCAAGTTTTCAGACATGCTAACCCATGACTGACGATCAAAATATATATTTTTTTATGAATAGCTTTTATCGAGTAATTTTAATTAATAAAAGAATTTTTCATTGTCATTTGTTAAATGGAAATATAGTGTTTTTTTTTTTTGAATAAGGTAATTACATTATAAATATATATTAAGAGTCGATAAATTAATATTAGTAGTGGATTTCAAACTTAACATCAACATGTCACATTACAAAGTTCTTATCATTGGACCGCAAACGATAATTGATGAGAGATATAGTATGTTTTAGTCATTCTGGTTAGTTGGCATGTATACATAGTATTTTGTTAATAAAAACTTGCATTTGTAAAGTTTATGTAATTAAATAAATTTTAAAGTTAATTCTTTTGCATTAGTAGTCTTTAACGAGTTAATAATATGTATTTAATACTTTAATTTATATTAAAATTTAAATTTTTATCGAGATAATTTTAATATTTTTGTCTCAAAATTTTCCCTGTTCAAAAAAAAAAAAAAAAGAGAAAAAGTTAATTCCCTTGCCCCAAATATGGCCTTAAAGATAAAGCAGTGTCCAGAGAAAAAAATAAATTTCAAAAATAAAAATGGACTGCAAACACGCCATGACTGTACAACCACAGAATCACTAAGTCAAACTCCACTCACATCGCAAGAAAATTTCCATACAATACACCTCCCTTCTTAGTAGATTTTTTTTCTTTTTTCTTTTTCTAATCTTTTTACCTTTTGGGTATGAGATGTAGATCACTGGAAACCATCTACGGGCACAGGGTTTGCAGATGGAGGAATCGAAATCAGTCGGGAAACTGCACGACCTGTAACAATTGGAATGAAGGGTGTCGGGGAGTAGACTCAACATTAGTAATTAGACCCAAAAGATTATATAAAGTTAAAAAATGCATGCACAATAATTATTATGCATCCTCATAATTAAGAGTAAGTATATCAATAGAGTAATAATATGTAAGATCATTGTTACGAATATGATCTATAAAAACTCTTAATTATGTTCATACAATATAATAATTTCATTATACTTTTCTTTCTATAATATATATATATTTTTTAAGAATCATTCATTAAAATATTAAATATTATTAATTTAAATGTCGAAATATCTTTCTTTAAAAAACCCCCTTAACTTTTTATTTTTATAAATAAAATATCTAAATTCTCCCTCAAAATATAGTGATAGGGATAGATTTACCCTCAAATAAAAAATAAAAATAATTTCACCCACAAAATTTTTTATTTAGACAAATCACTTTAAATTTAATGTGTGATGTCATATGACGTCAACAATCCATTAATTTGTTATATTGTCAATAACAGGTTTTTGACATCAGATAACGTCAAATTAACAGATTACTGACATCTATGATGTTACATGTTAAATTTGAGGTGATTTATCTAAATAAAAAATTTTATAAGTAAATTTATTTTTATTTTTTATTCAAAAATAAATATATCCCCATCACTGTACCTTGAGATGGATTTAGATATTCTGCTTTCTTTTATATTAGGAGTTTCGTGAAGCTGACCGAAAGAAAATGGGGCTTCCTTTTTACATTATAATGTGCAATTTCATTTTAATATTTAATGCTCAGCATACCCGGGATGATCCGTAATTGACGGGTCAAAAAGCCTTTATCACGTCGTCCCAGTCGCTGGTGTCCACCAGCACCATCACGTGCAGAACACGTGACATCCCACGTCTGAACGTAGCGACTCCAAACTGTAGTTGTGTTAACATCTAACAATTATTTGGGGACTGTTGTGTTAACCTTTAACAAATATTTGGGGAAAAAAAACACAGAAATTGTTTTTGAAAAGTATTTTATAAGACAAATTGCATATTAAAAATATAATCTAATCTATAAATTTATTAAATTAAATTACACATTAAAAAGACAATTTGAACTATAAAAATATAAATCTCATGCTTTTAATCCCAAACGTTCCATAATGTGCAGTGCAAAAATGAGACTAAGACCACTTTCTGCTGCTTGCCTTTTTCTTCTCTCCGTTCCATCTTTCCTTCTCTGTACCTGTAAGGCAAATCCTCCATCTGATAAATATACCGATGCACTCCAAAAGACCCTCTTCTTCTTCAATGCACAACGCCGTATGTTCCTAATTTCCCTTTTTCCTTCTAATTTTTTTTTTATTATCATATTAATTAATATTATTTGGTTTGCTTACTTGGAGAAATCACTACTAAAATTCCTCTTTTTCAGCAACTAAATATCAATAATATGAAATTGCTTGTTTATGATATGAATTTTCACCAACAAAACTTATGTTGCTGATTTTTAAATAGTACACAAAATCTCAAAAAGTAATATTTATTTTCAGCAATATGATTCTTGTTGCTGAACTTTTAGCAACAAGAACCATGTTGATGAAATTTTCTGATGAGTTAGGCTATTATCCATTGATTGGCAGCTGCACCATACCATAAAATAATCAGCAACATGGGGAGCATGTCGGTGATCTGGATTTTCACCGACAAGGCCCATATTGTTGATAGTTAAAAAGTACTGATAGGGGCAGTCTTCCACCTCTTTACTTTGTTTACGGTAACCTTTTGGTGACGCCCAAAAGCTTCACCGAAGCTCCCCCTCTGGTTGTGGACATCTGATGGATCCACATGAAAGAAAATGGGTAGAACCATCTACCCCAACTTGTTCCTGCAAGCAAGGATCTTGACGAGCTCATCCAGGCACCATCCAGAACTAGCATAGTTTGTGGAGTTATTTGCAATTTTTTTAAGGAAAAAGGAAATTAATCCCGAGTTATTATTAAGACTTCTGTGTTCTGTTTTGGTTGCCAAGAAAATGTTACTGCGTTTTTTTCCCCTTTTTTTTTTCTTTTTTTTTTTTATCAAATCATCTATTGCATCATTCAATTGACCCTAATTTTCACCCTTAACTATAAGAGTCGAATCTAGGAAAAGACAGAGTTTATTATACAATATCAAGATTCAACTTCAAAATTTCAAAGAATGGAGTGTTTCTGAAAACAGTTTAAAGTCGACTATTCAGTAAAAGATTTGACTCTAGACATTAAATAAAGTCAACTCTACATTATAAAAGTTGACTCTTACACAAAAAGAGTCGATTCCCATATTTAATAATTGCTCTTAAAAAATTATTTTATATTTTTATCTGAAATATTTATAGAAACTTAAATATATGTCCATATTAGTTTTTAAAATTATAAATAAAATTCTATTAATGTAATTATATTAATTAATATAATAAAGTAATAAAAATAAATTAAGAAATTAAATTTGAAAAATAAATGTTGAAATATATTGAATGTTAAATAATATTTGGGTTTAAGTACCATTTTGGTCCCTCAACTTGTCACTTTGGTACCAAAATTGTCCCTCACCTTTAAAAAGTACCAAAATTATCCTTAAACTTTCATTTTCGGTACCAAAACCGTCCTTCCGTCAGTTAA